CAAAAAGCTCGGTGTGAGAAATCAAACCTCCAGAGAGTCAAATACAAGCATGGATCTCTGCAAAGCACTGCATACACATCTCATGAGTGCTCCAGAAGATGCCTAAGACAGTAGAGAGTGCGATGGGGGTTATGTCACTGTTCTGACAGAATTTCAGACATATTTGATCTCATATTTAAATAAAAAATTTAGTTGTTATCTTTAAAGCAGTAATTTTCAAACAAAAACAGATCAAACCAAAGTTCCCTTGGGACCACCCACTGCACACAGTTACCTTAACAAGGACACTGCTGTTGGAGAGATATCCTTTAGCCTATGCTGCCTTCTGAGAGCCCTCTGACTCCAGGAAGCCAGAAAACTCATGGTTAAATATAGATTCCACCCACTAGGTGAGAGAAAATGCCTCAAAAACTTTCTTTATTATCCTCAAGGTGATCATACATTGGCCTCTAAATAGAGGATACGCTAGTTTTGTACAAAGTCCATTCATGGTTGAGTTTTAGAAAGGGAAATAATATTCATTCTTCTTTTGTGAGTGCTGATGTGGACTTCTTTGTGTTGAGTAGCTGAATATCACTCCTAGATGACTTTATGATGATCTTACGCTCAGTAAAAATATGGCTCATAGATTTATTTTAATTAACTTTCTAGGGGTGTCCTTTCTGGAATCACACTGGTTTGCTCGAAAAACAAAGGAGAATTAGGAGACTCAGAAATGACACTGTAGGAGGTTAGCTACATGACTTTCTTTCCTCCTGTGAAAAAACTTTAGGAAGTGGGGGTCAGTGCAAAAATCATATCTTACTTCAGCCATCAGAGTGAACTCTTGTCCCCATTGAATTCAGCGGTCAAATTCTTGCTGGCTCCTTTGCAGCCTGAATTTAACTTTCAGGAGCACATCCTAGCAGAGTGTCTGCCCTTTGCCTTGCTCCTGCAGAGAGCTCAATTTCACCCCGAATGCACCGCCACCTAGTAGTGACGTATGGAAAAAAACCCTTATCTCCCAATATATTTTATTGGCAAAATAAAAAGAGCAAAAGCACACCAAGGATGACAACCCCTCCTCCCACCTCAAGCCAGACTGGAAGGACACCAAGCATCCAGGGCTGCACAGCGTGGAGTGTGGCCAGCAGGTCGAGAGCCTCCACTCTGTTCTCGTGGGACTGCACATGCAGTACTGCACCCAGCTCTGGAACCCTCTGCTCAGGAAACATCCGCCCGAGCGAGACCAGAGGGACCTGAAAATGATCACAGGGATGGAGAACTTCTGTGACAGGCTGAGAGAACTGGGGCTGTCCGGCCTGGAAAACAAAAGATTCCAGGAAGACCTAACTGAGGCCTTTCAGTACTTAAAGGAGGCTTTTGAGAATGATGGGGACAGACTTTTAGCAGGGCCTGTATCTCAGGACAATGGTTTTAAACTGGAAAAGGGTAGCTTTAGATGGAACACAAGGAAGAAATTCTTTACTGTGAGGGTGGTGAGGCACTGGAACAGACTGTCCAGAGAAGTTGTGGATGTCCCATCTCTTCAAGGCACTGTTCAAGGCCAGGCTGGACAGGGCTTTGAGTAGCCTGGTCTAAGGGAAGGCATCCATGTCCGTGGCAGGGAGTTGACTAGATGATCTTTACAGCACCTTCTGACCCAAACTGCTCTTTGACTTTATGATACATGTAATAGAAGAAAAGCACAATATCTAATTCAAAGTCTTTTGTAACACATTAAGTTCAGATGAATTGTGATTTTTTCACAATATTGGCATAGAATCTGCTAAATAATTAAATCTTGCCTCTTATGCTACCAAAACAGTAATTTGTCATTAAATTTCTCAAAAGAAATTTAAAGATCAGAACACTCCAACTCAAGGGCAAAAAAATCACTTACATGAAGAGCACATGCATTTACCAAAACAATGACTTCTCCCATGGTACTAAAACAACATAATTAACTAGGTAGCTTTATCTGCAGCCACAGGCAAAATAGAGCATACAATATGTTATACTACAGTCATAATGACTTTTAAGGTTGTCAATTACAATCTTTTAAATAAACACCATGTTCTTTCTTTGTCCTCTGATGAAGGGCTGAACTTTGCTTTCATACGTGCTTCCTTGCAGCCTCTGGCCCCAGCAGACTTACTGCTGCGTGGGGACTCCCAGGCTTCCCAGGATGATGGGGTGTCCTCTGCACACCCCTAGGGCAGCACACCCACCCTGCCGGACCAATTCTCACTAGGCTTGTTGGACAGACTGTACAGCTGATCTTGACTTTCAGCTACAATTTGCACACACATAAACTAGATAAGAGGCTCTGACCTCCTCTACCCACTGATCATGAGGGTTCTTCCAATCCTCAGAAAAAAAGTTTTGAGAAACCACTTATTTTAGACAACTACATTTTCATGTCTTGAGTGCACACACCATTGTTCCAAAAGCTTTATCAATACTGATTAAGTAAGATGGTATAGACCCCAGAAAAGGGGGTTGTTCTCAGTTTAGTGGCATGATGGTATCTTCACATAGCTTGCACTGGGTATCATTAACAGAATGAGAAATAAGGGCAAGTATCAGAAAAGCACACAAGGGCCCAAAGCAAAGTTTGGGAAGCTATTATGTATTCACAACCAAAAGGCAGTAGGTACCTTACACCAGCAAAGTTTGTACTTGCATAGCTACTATTTAAATTGCACAGAAGAAGCAGTATCCAAAGCAAAGATAGATTTTTTTTCAAGGTTGGTGACAGTGTATGGGTGAAACAACACAAACTGTAGAATCAGTAGTAAGCATGAATCCAGCTGAACTATTGTTATTACCAGGGTATCTCTGGACATGCATGACTTAGTAAAGAAGTCTGAGTAAATACTGTTTCATTAAAAGAGCAACGTCTGATTAAGATCACATTAAAATTAATGTAAGTTTTGCTCTTGAACTCTGTGGAAGCAGAATTGAATTCACTAACCTGGAACTCTTTTGACGTAAGCTTAAAAATTATCTATTTAGTTTTATTAGATCCTTAGACTTTTTCAATTACATTCTCTTGCATAATTTTTTCATTTTCTCATATTATTTTTCTAACTGCAGACCATCTGAACAAACATGACATCATATGAGAGAAGAACATTATCCCACATTTTCCCAGAGATGTAAGGGTGTTTTCTGTGTTACCTTATAAATTTTGTCCTGGCAGGACACAATAGGCTACTGCTCTCAATCTTACTGGGTCAAATCAGCATACACAGCCCATAAGTAGACATAAGTGACACTGCTTTTAGTCCTTCTGAAAAACAAATCTGGAACACAAGTGTGAGCCTAGATAATAGTCTTCCACAGCACAAAATAAACTCAACAGCAGAAGCACAGGCAGATGCGAGCAAATTCAACAGGTCCTCTTTGTTCTGTATGTGGGACTGCAGTTTAGCCTTGCAGAGGGAGAGTCACTGTATAAATCTGAGTCTCAGACTTGATACTTCTCTACCATCTGCAGCCTCAGATGACTTCTTCATACGGAGCAAGCTACTGCTGTCTGACCAAGCAGTGAGGCACCAAGGGGCTTCTGCTAGCAATCCTGCCCTGTGTCAAGGAACACACGTGAAGGGGGCATGACCCTGCCTGCATCCAAGGCTGTCTTTAGGCCAACTGAGGCTCAAATCTGTACGCCTCAAACAGTATGAAAGTATATATGTAAGCATGCACTCTCGTGAGCTGCTGTAGGACTGCCTTTTTGTTAGCTTAGTTCTCTGCAGAGGAAGTGATCATAAAACTTTTGCACCCCACAGAGGATCCTCAAAGGTGACCTTGAAACCTGTCTTTCAGTTGCTATGAAGAGCCAGTTTTCATGTACCATGTAAACATGGTTTCTCCAAGATACCTCCAGAAGAGCATCCAAAAGATGAGGTTCTTATTAACTGTGGTTGAAGATCTTGAGCTATAAAACTATTTTTTAAAAAACTGAGGTAGATTGAAAAAGTTTTAACTATGATTAAGAAAAATCTCATGACACCATTTGTAAGCAGTTATACTTCTAGATGATTTAACTTCACCTCATAATGAAAACAGGTGTTAAGGACTGTAAGTCAATCCCAAAGAAGCACACAAAGCAAGAGCCTGATTCTGGTATGTTTAAGCTGGTTAAGTACAGCCAATTCTCACCAACCTCACAAGCTACAGACTGCCAGGTCAGTCCTGCATATTAAAGCACCAATAATTTCCCATGGATTTTCAGTATGGAGCTTCAACGGACATTAAAAGCAGTCATGCACTGGCAGCTACACTCATCAAGCCTAAAATCCACTCAGCAAAACAATGTTTACACATACACTAGTGGCCCAAAAGGTGTCCTAACAGTTTACTGGATCAGTAGTTTTCAAGGCTCACCAAAACTTGACCTTCTGAGACTGGTGGTGATGGGCATTCAAACCAGGCTTTTTAAACTGTTACCAGTTTATGCAAGATGACCCTCAGGAGACACAGATACCAGTGATTTCCAGTGTCACAATCCGGCAAAGCACACTGCATGGGGATCCATATATAGTATCAGTCTCCATGAGAGCATCAGCCTCTCCCTGGTAGACCAGTTAACACGCTGTAGATGCCTGAAGTGACATCAGGACAATGCCTGACATCAGCCAGGTCCAGCTCAGGACCTGTCCAGGATCTGCCTCAAGCATTAACCTGCCCTGTCACCCATGCCAGCTCTCACCTGCTGCTGGGCACCACCAGCACCTCCCCACCCCTCGCCTGCCGGCCAGGAAAGAGGCAGCAGCTGTCCCCGTTAGGGACCGGCCTGGACGGCGACACCACTACCCTGCCCAGCAAGGCGACACCCCTGTCCTGGCACGACAGGGGCAGCGGCCGCCTCCTGAGCACAAGCGGCTCTCAGGCAGCGGCCACTCCGCCCTGCCGCTGTGCCCACCCGCCAAGGCGCGGGCTGCCTGTCATGCCCCAGCACCAGGTCTCGTTTAGCATGCACCGGGACACGACCCTGCCCGTCCTGCCGCCCTTACCGGCAAAGTTCTTGGTGAAGACGAGGGTGACGAGGAGGATGGGGATGAGGACGGTCCCGATGGTGACCACGCGGTCGAAGGGCAGCTCCAGCTTCAGCTGGAGCAGCAGAGCGGCCAGCGCGCCCGCCTTGTCATCCTGCTGCCCCGGCAGGATGAGCTCCTTCAGCTTCTCGCCCGCCAGCAGCGCCGTGGCCATGTCGGGGTGGTTATCGATGATGTGTTGCATAAGCAGCGGCGGCGGGCGGCCTCACGCCGCCGGGCTTCCCCGGGGACGGGCGGCGCCCGCCCGGCCTGCGGGGACAACACCGACAGCGGTGACGGCGGGGCCGCGCTGCCGCAGCGGCACCGTGCGCTGCCCCGGCCCCGCCGGCCCGGGCAGCTCCCGCCGGCCCGGGCAGCGCGACAGCCTCCCGCTCCCCGCAGCCGTGCGGAGCCACATCACGAGAGGCGGGCGGCGACACGAGATGCCCGGTGACAGCTGTGCCATTGAGCGCTGCCTCTGCTCCGAACCCGTGCTGTACAACAGCGGCGCAGCAGCCATGCAACCCGGCAGACCGGAGCCGCCTCCCGAAGTGCTGCAGACAAGGAAGGGGGCATTTACCTGGCAACTTCGGTTCCCTCGGCTCCCGGGGGATGGTGAACAAAACCGATGGCCGGTACAGAAGAGCGGAAGCCGAAAATACACTTACACTGGACCTTCCTGCCGAAAAATGGTCCCTGCACCACGACAAGTAATGAAATCGCTCCGGGTTCGGAGCGGGAGGTGGCTGATGTGCTGATGCACGTTACAGCAGCGGGCGGCTGGCGCTCGCATGGAAATGCCCGCCTGCACCGAGCAGCGACAGCGTGCGGAGCAGTTCAAGAAGGGGCTCGCAGCCGTGGGGAGGAGGAGGAGGAGGCAAGAGCAGTCCGGAATGAACTGCGGGAACGCAGAGGTCCTTTAAGGCATCCCAGCGAACAGCTGGAGCCTGCGGAGCGGGGCGCGGCCGCAGCAGGGCGGCCGGGAGCGGCGCGGCCGCAGCAGCCGGTGCGGCACAGCCCATGCGGGGCTCCGAGCGCAACACGTCGCGGCCGCGGCCCCGGCGCCCGCGTCCCCGCAGGAGCACCGCGCGGCGGCGGCACCGCGCATGCGCCGGGCGGCCCGGGGAGCGCGGGGGGCAACGGCGGCCCTGGGAGGGTCTGGGGCCCGGCCCGGGGGACACTGGCGGCACCGGCCCTGGGAGGGTCTGGGGCCCGGCCCGGGGGACACTGGCGGCACCGGCCCTGGGAGGGTCTCGGGTCCGGCCCGGGGGACACTGGCGGCACCGGCCCTGGGAGGGTCTCGGCACCGGCACAGGCGGTCCCGGCAGGACGAGGCGCGGGCTCCCTCCCTTCTCCTTCCCGGAGCCCGCACACGGCAGCTCAGGCCCGGGTACGCGGGAGCTCCCGCGGCTGAGGGACAGAGAGGGTAGCGATGAGGGAAAGGGAAACCCTCACCCAAGCGGGCCCTGAAGGTCTTGGATCTGCGGGCACGTCGGGATTTCAGTGCTGCCAATAGAAAGCCTTTCCAGATGCTGTCTTTTTAAAGCACTTGTGGGGTCGGGCACATCTGGTGAAACAGCCTAGGAGCAGAGGACTTGCCGAACATGCAGAGGGCAGCTTTCACCCACAGCCTCATGGTGTCCAGACCTGGGTCTTACAGAGATGGCCAGACCTTGCTGTCCTTCTCTGGAACAGGCTGGGAGCGGAGCACGCATTAACACTCTGGGAAAAAGCTACACAGCACCAAAGGAGGCCATATGTGCTGCATCATAGCCTGCAGCAATGGTGTTCAGACAAAAGCTCCAGGTCACCCATCCTGCTTCTTCTTTGTGGATTTTATATTTAGCAGTACTTAGATAAAAAAAACAGAGATAAACAAATATTGCTGATATTTCTCGCAAAGATTTGCAGCTGTCATGTGCAACTCACATGAGTAAGCAGGGATTTTTATCTTTGCCTTGAAATTTTCATTTATCTGGTCACTGTGAACAATATGATGGTTGTGTTTATTATTCAAGTTTAAATATTGGGTGCAAGTTTTAAATAATTCTTCTTGGCAGGGTTCGTTCCATCCAGGCAGGGAGATAATGAGCAAGGCCAGAGGGATGTCCTGATGGTGACTGAACAAGGATCCCAGGCAGCAGACACAAAGCTGTCAGTGCCACATGCTCCTGAAGAGTACTGAAGATCAGAAGGCAATAGAGCCTGAACCTGAACCTGTAACCATCACTCATTTCATTTTCCCTGCTTCTAATCCTCCATGGGCTCTGCCTCTGTTGGTCTTCTGTAATGACTGACATGCAGTATCTGCCTCATAGGCAGAGGGCAGAGAGGAGAGGTACCCTTTTCTTATGCCCTTCTATGTCCAGGTACAGTGGGTACTTGTGAAGTAGTGCAGCAGAGAGTTCTTGGTCACCAGCTGTACCCCAGGCAGGGCAAGGTAGGAGGCAGAGCAGCGAGGATCCTGGTGTGGTGAACTTGGGAACAGAGTACAGCTGTGTTCCCACAGCTGAGGAAAAGTGGGGACAGTTTCTGGGTCAGGCTTCAAGCCTCAATAGTCCTAGCTATCTGTGATGAGGGATAGATGCATCAATTTCTCTTGCTCTAGCTGCATTTGGACTACATTTGTATTTTATCAGCCTCTAATATAAGAGCTTTCCATTCCAACAACAAAGAACCAAAATACCTTATGCACTTGTTACTGCTGCTGCCAGAGGGATGATACTGAGCATAGCACTGACAGCCTAAGGCAGCACAGCTGATGTGCAAAACTTTTGCTCAGACTTTCAACATTGTAATTGTTTCCCCATGATTTGTCTGCTGTTGACAATCTTGTCCTGCTCCTTGAGACTGCAGCTGAAAGGCCACTTTTCTAACTCTCACTATTGTCATCTTCTTTTTGAATCCTCTTTCACGCATCCACTTACTTAATTCAAAACAATCAGCTTGCTTTTTGTTTTCAGAAACTGCCTGTGGTATTTCTCCTATCCTCCCCTACCTAAGCCCTTAGCACTCATCTGCTGTCTAGCTGCTGACTCTAGATGCTTGCTCTTGTTTTTCCATGAAGAAATAATGCCAGCTCTAGTAACCATTTTTGAGGAATCTTGGTCTAAACATCTACAAACTCTACAAACTTAGGAGTGGCCATCTAGTCCCTTACATCTCCAAATGTGGCTGCAACTGTCAGTTGAGGAAGTGTTAAAATGAGGTAGCCTGTGTTGATGCCTTTCCCTAACTGTCCCAGCTTCCAACAATGTTGAGGGAATTTCCTGAGCTTGTGATGGTTTGATAACCCCCAAAAGATCTCAGGGTATTTTTCTGGTCTCCTGTTGGGACTGTGTAAATTTCTAGAATCCACAGCCTCTTTATTAAGGAATTCCAAAGGCCTACAACCTTTGGATATATCATCCATTGTATCAAACCTACCTTGTTCTGTTTGCTTCAAATGTAATCAAATCATAAAATTAGACAGGCCCCTATGGGAATGTATCTGAATCAATCCTTACCCATATTTTCCATGATGCATATACTTCTGTAGACTCCTATTATATCTTCCTCTTAAATTATATCTAGTTCCACATTTAATATCCAAGGCATAGAATAACCATAAATCAGACACTCTGCTTTTAAAATAAAAGTGACGTCCATGAGTGATTAAAATTTCTCTTATGAAGCTTGCTTCATTATAATACCATTATTGATTTAATCATATTGATTTTGTAATCCTGCTTTGCAAGATTATGTCTGTACAGCAAGCCAAAGAGACAGGCAAGATGGAATGGTATTGTCAGACCAGAACATGGGTAAACAAAAACCTGTAGTAAGGCAGAGTGTGGGACATGGAAAATTACTGTCACAATTTACAGATAAACACCACAGCCAAGTTTCTCAGTAATAACATCCTGGCATGTATGCTGCTGGGTGATCTAGACAATAATCAGGCTGTGATAATATTCCTGTGCTAATAAATATTTCACAAGTTGCTGGTAGGGTCAGAAATTGATTTACAGATCAAAGTGGAAAGTCATGGGAAGGAATTCTAATTAGTTCTAACAAAAGATCAAAAAAGAAGTATTAGTTTTTAGTTTGAATAAATCACTTGTTATCAAACAGAAAATACTGATTATAGAAGGTAAAGTGTGGGTCTTTTATAAGTCTTGTTTTCTGCAGTTGTGAAGGTTCAGAAATTCAAAAGCAAATGAGAAAAAGTGAGATTCATTTCAAATTCTGACAGGGACACTTGTAGCACCTAGAATTTACCTTCTAAGCAGAGGGATACTACCTCTAGATGTGGTGTGAGATTTATCTATCCAAATACGAAGGTGCCTGAGCGAGATACTGCAGAGCACTATTCCTGAATCACGTAGGAGGAGAAATAGCTAAATGTAACAGTGCAGTTCATGTGACCAAACGTAGATGTTCTCTTCCAAATGAGATGAATCATTTACACATTGTAGGTGTCCAGAGTTTACACATGAATCCCACTCACTGTCTCTTATATTACAGCTTGTCTCAGCTTAGCCATTTCCCTAAGGGTGACAGTGTACTGTCCTTGTCCTTATCAGTTCTCAGTAACGTGAGAATTGCTGCCTTTTAATCTGAAGGTTTTAAAATTGGTCATGCTACCAAGAATCTTTCATGCAGTTCCTCAGGCTGAATTTATGGAAAGGATGCAGTTTCCCTGTTAACACTGTCAAGGAGCAGAAGGACTAGGAAGCACTTGTGGAGCTTCTCTTACCTTCAGCCAGGGCTGTGACTCAAATCCACGTGGTCTTTACCCCATGAGCCCACCCTGGGAATCTCATCACTCAGCCTGGGGGTGGTGTGGCCCTCCACAGACCAGCTACTCCCGTGCTGGCAGGGATGCTGCCACCAGTGCAGATTAGCAGTCAGTGCTGTCATGGCTGTGCAGGTGCTGTCTGTGTGAGCAGCACACACACCTTTGGGGAGTGCAGCCATGCCTCTGCAGCACACTCCCAGTGAGACAAGACTGTGTAGGGTTGGAAATGGCAACTGGCAGATGGCAGGGAGCTGTGACTGGGTCTTAGCTCAGAGGTGATGGTTTTGGTGGTAAAGTGAAGTGAGATGCCAGATGATAGTGAAAAGGAGCAACTGGCAATGCAGCCTGGCGTTTTGGCACTAACAGGAGGCTCTGTGTTCCCTGGTAAGAAAAAGTGACTCTTAACAACAAGATGTGATATGGTT